AACCCTCAGGTTGTTTCCTGAGATTATGAATTCCTCATATTAGTGAGATCATATGATACATGTCTTTCTCTGACTGACTTATTTCATTTAGCATAATACTCTCTAGTTCCATCCACGTTGTTGCAAATGGCAAGATTTCAGGGTTTTTTTGATGGCTACATAATATTTCATTGTATATATATACCACATCTTCTTCACCCATTCATCTGTTGATGGACATCTTGGCTCTTTCCATAGTTTGGCTATTGTGGACATTGCTGCTATAAACATCGGGGTGCATGTACCCCTTTGGATCCCTACATTTGTATCTTTGGGGTAAATACCCAGTAGTGCAACCTGTACCTCTAAAACAAATAATACATTATATGTTAAAAAAAAAAAAAGATAGTAGGAAGGGAAAAATGAAGGGGGGGAATCGGGGGGGGAGACGAACCACGAGAGACTATGGACTCTGAGAAACAAAGTGAGGGTTCTAGAGGGGAGGGGGGTGGGGGGATGAGTTAGCCTGGTGATGGTATTAAAGAGGGCACGTATTGAATGGAGCACAGGGTGTTATATGCAAACAATGAATCATGGAACACTACATCAAAAACTAATGATGTAATGTATGGTGATTAACATAATAAAATAAAATTAAATTTAAAAAAAAATTGAAAAACCACAAAAAAGAAATAAAACTGAATTAAAGCTCCAATGCAGATTGAATCAGAAAAGTCCCTTGTGCTAGCCACTTAAATAATTCTTTAAGTCAAATTCTCAGGTTCACAGGAGGGGGAGCAAGCTCTAGCCCATAAATCCCAACATCTGAAGAGATAAAGATGATGTATAAGACAGGTAAAGTAGCTGGTAAGTCTTTGGAAGTTGACCTAACTTCTTTTAGGCATTTGATGAGAACCCACATTAAGACATGACACTAAGAAACATAAAAGTGTATCACTGTCTAAAGTAAAATTTGTTTTAGTGGTTGTTTACCTCATCTTGCAAAAGTATTACATTTTATATTCATAATTTTTACTTTCTGAAATCATACTACTAGAAAAGACCTTAAAAATTATCAACTCAAACCCTCTAATCTTACAAATAAGGAAACCAAGGTCTACAAAAGGCAAGTGACTTACCCAAGGTCATACTGGTAATCGGAGGCAGAGTCTGAACTCAAACTCAGTTTTCTAGTCTCCCCAACTTAAGAGTTTTTCCCACTAGATGAAGAACTGTATCTTAACATGCCTTATTAGAGTTTGGTTCCCCCTCCACACACGTATGTATATTTGTAGACATACACATATATGTGTGTATGTATAGATATATCCACGTATCTACATACACACTTATTGCACTTGAAAAAAACCAGCGCTGTTCAGAAATGTATTTAAAAAGTATACCAGTTAATTGAAAAGCCTAGTCCTATGATAAGGTATTCATGTTTTCTGAATGACCCACTAAAACACCAAATCTCCATGTCTGGGTTTATATATATTTAATATATTAATTATATGAAGCATAATGGTTAAGAGCATGGACTCTGGAGTAAGAGACCTCTTTGTAACCCCCTAATTGCAGCTCCGACATTTAATTAGTTGTATAACCATGGACAAATTTAACCTTTCTAACAGTTTAACCTTTCTTACAGTTTCCTCACCTGTAAAACTGAAAAACAGAACCGACCTGATATGGTACTCGGATATGGTACTTGGGAGGATTAAATAAATGATGAATATAAAGGGCTTTACCGAGGACTTAGCTCTTACTCAAATTTAGCTATTATCAGTATTACTGCCTACTAATCTCTGGGTTGCCTACAAAAGTGCCCCAACAAAGTTTTCTTTATATTTCTCACTCTCTCACACAAACACATATGCAATCCCAATTATATATTATCTGTTCTTCTGAACATAGAATGCAGCAAACTAAAAACACTTCAAGAGAATTCCTTTTGCTTTTCTTTTTTAGAGATCAAACTCTTACCTAAAATTGATTTTTAAATTCTAGAAATGTCCATTCCCTATAATGAGAGTTTAGAATTTAAAAATACAAATTGTTTTCTGTCTTCTTGCACTTTTCCATTCTTTCAAACAAAATTAGTTTGGCTGCCTAAATTCTGCAAAGAGGAAATGCAACTGACTCAGAAAGAAAATGAATCTCCTTGCTTCCTACTGAGTACCCTTTTGGTGTTCAGACACAAAGGACACTCTCTATCTCATTTATGGTGACAGTGAGAGCAAATTATTTCCAAGATTTACTGTGCATTTATGTTTTAACTCTATTAGAATCTGAAATTATAAAAGGTCCTTTTTCCATATATATAATCATGCCTCAAATAAAGTATTTCCTCCTTTCCCACATTCCTTAAAATGCAGAGTTTATCATAAGTGTAAGATACTAGCAGGAGAATATTAATAATTCTTTAAGTCAAAGACCTTTTGAGCTGTTTTATTTCCTAAAAATAATTTAAGAAGCTAACTCTTCTGGTCTAAATTCTTTTACTATGTATTCATGTTCTGTGATGCTTGCTGAACAACTGAAAGGATACAACATTTACATACGTTCATTTTAATAGTCAAATATGTCTAAACAAAACCTATTTTATTGTAAATCTCAAGATTCTCTTTGAAGGTGTTATTGTCTGGGTTCCTGGAGTACTCTGAAATTTCAGTTACAGAATGTATAATTTAATTTGAAAGTAAATCAATACTAGAAACAAATTATTTCATCATCATCTTTTTACAAAAGATTAAACAGCCACAAATTTTATTTTACCAGGACTAAAATGCATTAAATTACATTTCACTGACATAAAATCAAAAGAACCTCATAAATACAATGCTGTATTTTACCAGAGTGAGGTTAGAAGAAGCCAAACCAAAAGTATTCCCTCTGGAAAACAAAAACTGTCTTAAACTTAATTTTAAAACTCTCTTGACATTTGATCCTTTTTTATTTTTTAAAATTTCATCCTATAAACAAAATCATTAAAGGTTGCTGGAAAACAAGCCCAAAGAATTATAAATAAAGTTATTTTTTTCCAAAATGCAATGCTACTTTTTTAGCTATCACAAATGACTAAGAAACGTTCACATACTATACATTTGGCTATTTTTAAATTATATAATTCTTCTAAGATTATTTTTGGTCTAAATTAAAACCTAACCATGAGATAGAAAATGTGGTTAAAAGTACCTCTTGCCAATAAAAAGTATCATAGTTTTAAAATAAAATATAAAATCAAGTTAATAAACTTATGTTTTATTAGCTTAAATTGGTAATTTATGAAAATAGAACTGGCTTCTCTCAGAGAGATTAAAAATAATTTAAAGTCACCAGAATTTTATAAAGCAGATGACAGACTAGTCAAATGTACTACTATGTCTAATCTCATGGGATTGGGGATTTTCTGAATATGCCCCAAATTACATAATATTGGGGGAAAGGGAGATGGTTTAAGGCTTTTGAAAAATATTATATGAGAAGGATAATTTTAAAAATATGTCAGAATTCTTCAATGAAAAAATAAATAAGAGTCAACAGTAGGTATCTCCAGACGCTGATTTCTCAAATGTCACCAGATTATCCATCTCACTAAGAAGTACTTTTAAATACATGCAGCACACAGAGTATCAAGTTTTCAAATCCGTACCTTTTGCAGATATCTGTACTGCTTTAACTGCTGCATATAAGCACTGAAATGCACGTACCAAATTTATTAGAATCACTATCTTCTTTTAAGAGTCCCTTTTATTTTAAAAAGATATCTCACTAAATCTAAGAAAAACGTTGAATAAATATACACTTTTTTCCAACATCCAGAATATTAAAGTATTTATAAATATGGCTCGCCCCAACTTACTTCAGCTTTATGAATGGTTTCATTTTTTTAGTGCTAATATAGTTCTGAACATACCCTCCTACCTAATTTGGGGGAAAAAAAAAAGCAATTATTTTAAACCTGGAACAGCAGCTAACAAATTAACAGTGATATTCAAGTAAACCTACTTTGTTTACACTGAAACCTAAAGATTATATAATAAACTCTGAAATTATCTTTCCAGCAATTTTCTATACTGTCAAAGGCAACAGAGACAACATACGTTTTTACAAGAGGAAAACAAGGAGTTAATAAAATATATTTTCCCCTCAACTAAGAATTGCCTTCTCTTTTGTCAATATTACACGACATTCATCTACTGACAAAGGAAAAAATGAACACTTCACTTGCCTGTTTAAGAAACTAAACTGGGAGCATTACCAGTCATAGACTTAATTAAGTTATTTCTAGGGGAAAATATTTAAAGCAAAGAGACTATTTACAGTTCACTGCCAACTACTAAATTTTGGGGGAACAGGCCTGAACAAGATAGTCCTTATTTGTCCCTTGCCTTTTTCCCCACCACCCACCCTGCACCAAACCCCCATTGTTCTATGTAAAACTCACAGGTTAATGATATCTAAATAGCAATTGCTACATTTATGTTACAGATTATCACTATGAAGAACTCTTCAGCATCACATTTACTTGCTGCTTTCTTTCCCCCAAATAAAATCCAAATTTGGTAATAAATCAATCACAAACTGGTGGGGGAAAGGATCACAGCTTCCCTTCCAGAGTGATGGATGTCACTCGGGAGGCGTGAGGAAATCCCCCAGAAGGTTACCATAATAAATTGAGTCCCCCCCAGAAAATCATTTAAACTGACGTTTTACTACAATTTTTTTTTTTTAATCTATAATCGAAACCCTTGAAAAGTATACAGCCCATGGAGTAGAAGCTCCTTTTCCCTATTAGCCACCAAAGTAGAACACAGAGGCAGCAGCAAGCAGGATTTCGTGCGGGTTTGGATCCCTCGTTCACCACTTCCTCCCCAAACCTGGCTGGCAGGGCCAGATGCTGGTGTCGAGGAAGTGGGAGACCGGCACGCCGGCGCCCCACTCTCCCTGCGGGCTACCTGCCTCGGCCTGCGGGAGCGCCGCCCAGCGCGGACACCGGCACAGACACAAACACTCACCCATCTTTCCTCTTGGCTTTGTAGACGTGACCATAAGTGCCTCGGCCAACTTTGCAGCCCTCGTATTCAAACAGGTCCTCGACCCGCTCCCGCTCGCTGCTCAGCTTCACTTTAAAGTCATAGTCCATTGTCACAGCCTCCGGGGCCGGGGAGCTGGGTCGGGGGGCCGGGGGACAGGGGTGGGGACCGGGGAAGCACCGGCAGCCGCAGCCCCCGGGAACCCGCCCGCTCTACACCCGGCGGCCGCAGCACCAGCCCGACTGATGCGGCAAGAGCAGAAGGCCCCGCGAGAGCCCCGGGGACATCCAGGGGGACGGCGGGGCAGAGGCCGGCCGGGAGGGTGGGGGGACAGGGAGGTTCCCCCGGGCGAAGGAGAGCAGAGGGACGAGAGCTGGGGGTGGGGAGCGGCGTCTCTGCCCTTGTCCCCGCGGGCTCCCGGGGCGCCGGCTCTCCTGCTCGCTCCTGCCGCGCGTTCTGCTCCCGCTGCGGGGAGCGGCGGGGCGGCCGCGGCGGGATCTCCTCCTCTTACACTCGCACTCACGCCTCACCCTCTCTCACACACACGCTCACACTCACTCACTCACTCTCTCTCCCATACACTCAAACAGAAAGGCAGCGCCGCACAACAGCCGGTACCTCCTCAGAGGAGGGAGGGAGGGGACTCGCGGAACACGGCCACGGCTGTCGCAAAAACGTCGCGAAAGATGGGATTGCCTCCGGGCCTCCCTGCAGCCTGCTCAGCGGCGTCGGTCCGGCCTCGCCGGGGTCCGCATCTCGAGGACCGGGTGGAAGAAGCAGGGTACCCACTGCCCAAAGGTGCCGCCAGACGCACCACGTGGATTGTCCCGACGGCGGCCAGGGCCTCAGACTACAATGCCCAGAATGCACAGGCCACCGTCGTTGCCGCCCCTTCTATGACTCCACCCCACACAGTGGTATACGGGAGCGTTGCATGCTGGGATCAGTAGTCCAAGGTGAGATTAGTTTCAATCGTTTGGAAGAAAAATAATTTTTTTCTTACTGCAGTATCGCTAGAGTGTGATTTGGGCCATAAACTTAACCAGAGAAATTTACGTGCGAGGGAGGCTAGCATTAGAACCACATTTTATTCCACTTCCGATCTCCAGATGTTAAAGGGTATTATCATTATCGAAAAAAGTCTATATATTTGTAAACACCTCACAGACTATTACTTGGTGTATTCTTGTCGTTCACAATCTGATAAGGGCTGCACAATGATACCAACATATTGACACATATTACAAACATGAGTGAAAGTGAGACTCTGGATTTCAGCTCAGGTCATGATCTCAGAGTCATGAATGAGATCGAGCCCCAGGTGGGGCTCTGCACGGGGTGTGGAGCCTGCTTAAGATTCTCTCCCTCTCCCTCTTCCGCCTCTTAAAAAAATTGTATAGTTTTAAGATGTACAACGTGTTGTGTGTGTATATGTCTGTATACACACACACATATATATGTCTGTATATATACAGACATACATAGTGAAATGATTACTATAGTCAAGCTAATTAACAGTATTCTCACTGTCAGTAATCCTAGGGCAGGTAAGGAAGCCAGCCTTGGACGAGGGCAGAGAAAGACCGGCTTCCCTCTCCAGAGCTGGGGTGAAAGTTAGGGACCTGAACTCCAGGTTGGGAGAATATGATGGTTTGAGGTAAGCAGAACACAGCATCAGGATGGGAAGCTAAGGAAGAGATAGACATTAGGGACTTGGAGGGGAGCTTGGTCTATGTCTTAGGAGCAGTAACATCTAATATTCAATTTTAGGTTTTTCTTTTCTGTGTGGTAATGCCGTTCTGTTATCCCTAGGCTATCAGCCTGGTCTTAGCTGTGTCCGTGCTTGGAGGAAAGGAGAGGGAAGCAGCCCGAGACTCAATTATGAAAGATAAGAAGTGTCCTGCAGAGCCAAAGCCATGAACTAGGAAAGACTGGGCACATGTTAGGTTTCCAAAAACTTGAGGAATGGAATCTGTTTTTAGAATGGATTTCCGACAGATCAAAGGATGAGGGTTCATACTTAATTGTTACTTAAGTGAATTGAACATATCAGGAACACGGAGCTGTCATTTCAGTTTGATTTTCAATTTCAGGTTATACTGATAGTCTCTTTACACGGTCACTGGAAGTCATGATAGTGCAGAGTCTTATGACCCTCATTGGTTCATGTTCTGAACAGTGTGCAAATAATGCTCATGCTTTTCATAAATGTGGTTTTATTTACATTCTAAATTTAACATCTCCAGCCTTAACATGCCCCCCAAACACCAGCCCCACATTTCAGTTGCCTCCTGTTCAGCCTAAAGGAATATTCTGCTGTCATCCCAAACTTAAAATTTCTGAAAATGATCATTCCATACCCCAAACCTCCCAAATCCAGTGAATAGCAATGCCAAGAGACAGACATTCTGTTGTTTTACTGCCAATCCTAGGAGTTCAGGCCTTCATTAGCTGCACATTGTCCTTCAGTCTCATGCCAAATATTCTTTTGTCTGGTCTGTCCTCAAAGGCTGGATGCTTCCTCATACCATCTCTGACCTTTGCAGTCCTTCCCATCCTCCAAGGTACAGCTCAAATGCCTAACTTAGTCATGAAGCTTTTCCTCATTCTTACAAATGAATATGAAACACCTCCTTTTTTGTTTTTTTTGTTTTTTACCAGAAGCTCCTACTCCAGCCCTGGTGCCATTATACTTTATTTGTAACTCATGTAGAAACATCACAGCTAGTTTGTATTTTAGTCATTTCTTTTATGTACTTAAAAAAATACGTCCTTTAATGAACACCTTGATGACCGAGTCTCTGACTTACTCATCTCTGTATCTCTTAAAGTGCCCAGAACATAGTTTGCATAATTATATTTTATTAGCATGTGTTGAATAGATTGATTTCTATAAAGGTTGAAATGGACCTTAAGTTGGGGGGGGCAGTCATTTTAAAACATTTAACATATTAACCTCTGTCTTGCCTCTGAATGTGTATTTTTTTGCAGTGTGGAAAAGAATTTGGTGCTATATATATCATGATGTATTGATGTGAAAGCCCAAGTGGGTCTTCTCAGAGTTGATCACTTCTCATCCCTACCACTTTTGTTTTCTTGCTTGATATTAGAGCGTGCTTTAAGCGGAAAGTTTCTAACCTTCCTTTCTGCAGGTGGAATATTCATCATCTTCATCATCAAAAAGCACATATTAAACGTCTACATTTGAGTAGTGTTATACACAAGAAAGAACAGGTTAGGTCAATCAACACCCTAGCCTTTTAAATTTTTTCAAAGAAAATACTAATGCAAAATTTCTCAATTAACTCCATCTGCATCCAGAATATAATTTAAAACTTGGAAACAACCAGAACCAAAAAGCACTTTCAAAAGTAACTTTCTGGGTGCCTGGGTGGCTCATATGGTTAAGCGTCTGCCTTCGGCTCAGGTCACGGTCCCAGGGTCCTGGGATCGAGTCCCGCATCGGGCTCCCTGCTCCTTGGGAGCCTGCTTCTCCCTCTGCCTCTCTCTCTCTCTGTCTCTCATGAATAAATAAATAAAATCTTTAAAAAAAAATAAATAAACTTTCTTTCTCCCCTTCATCATGTGAATGTCATTTGTTCTTATAGACTCATTTTCACATGACTGGAAAGATGACCACGAACAGTTGCTGAATTTGGCATCAGACACCTATCGTTAGAGAAGAATTGACTCTGTTTCTCAACTCCGGTTCTAAAAATCACAGGAAGGGCTCTGATCCAGCTAAGTCAGGGGCCCATTCCTGGACCCACAAAGTGTGCCCATGGGGGCAGGGTCATACAAGAATATGAGAGCTCCTTCATTCACGGGGATAAGGAAGATGGGGTGGGGACTCACAGGAGAAGGGAGAGAGCTCTAAGTACCATGAAGGCTCTGAGACAGAGCCATGTGATAGAAAATGAGCCCGGAGGAGATTACTTCAGATTGGGTGGCTGGTCAAGGATTCTCTGAGGTAATGCTTAGTGAGACCTGAATGATGAGGAGAAAAACCTGCTAAGGTGGCAGATCAGGGTAATCCACGTGGATGTATGGTGTACAGCAAGTGCAAAGACTTTAAGCTGGGAAAGGAGTCTTGTTTGATAGGAGTGTCACGAGTAAGGGGGGAGGTTATGTGAGATGAAGACAAAGAGGTAGGAAGGGACCAGATTATACAGGGCCTTTTAGACCATAGTAAGGGCTTGGATTTTATTTTTAGGACAATAGGAAGTCATTGGAAGGTTGTAAGCAAGGGAACCACCAGATGTGGTCTATACTTTAAAAAGAATATCCTGGCTGCTATGTTTACAATGGATTGCAGGAGATAAGATTGAAAGTGAGATTGACAGACAGACAGACAAGTAGGCATGGGACTTGCTGCTCAGTTGGATGGGAAGAAGGGAGGAATCGAGATGACTCCTGAAGATGGTGCCACTTACCGAGATGGGAACGACTTTGAGAGGAATGAGTTTAGGTCAAAGCAAGATATAAGACCAGCCCAGATTCAAAGAGGGGCAAGTATACTCCACTTTTCGGTAATAGGAAGTGTAAAATACTGTGGCCATGTTTTTCAGTTCTTTCATGGGTACATCTGAATCTGTGGATTTGGTGAAAGTTGAAAGAGTTCCTTTTCAAATGGCTTTGGTTCTCTCTGTAAGGTACAAGAAAAGTTTACCTCTGTGAGTGAGGAGACAGGAGTGGAAGGAGAAAGCAGTGAGATCTTTTCATGTCTGAAAAGACTACAGGTTTTAAACACGCTTTGGGCAGAATTAAAGAGATAGCTGGCAGAATATCATCGTGGGACTTCTAGCCAAAGTCGCGGGTCCATTTGCAGGTGCAGCCATGCATTTATATCAATATCCATCTGCCCTGTTGTGAGATTTTCATCACCAGCACTCAACAGCCCAGGTGGAGGCCTGGCAAAGACAGATGTTAGATTCATCCAGGGTTAGAGCCTTGCCAGCTGGGTTTAATGAAAAGAAGATGAGGTGACAGAGGTTAGAATTATTGGCAATAGAGTAGTTAAAATGACAGACAATGACATTTAAGCTGGGGAAGGAGGAAAATGAGAACAGGATCCCTTTTACAGCATAACGGTAGTTTGAAATTTTTTAACTGAATTTTTTGTAGGATAATTTAAAAAAGAGTTATCCTCATTCCTGGCTTCTTTAACATCTATGTATGGTAGCAAGACCCCATCAAATACATACTAAGTAAAACAGACAGCTGAAGAAATAATATAAATAACAGGTTAAAAATGATTTCTTCTTTTCTTAGCTAATAGATTCCCATTACAGAGACTGATAAGGGCATCCCAAACTGAAAATGTCTCATATTTGTCAATGATGAATTCTGCTCCTGTGTTCTATAAGTATTAAGGAAAATTTACCTATTTAAATTGATAAACAATAATTATAATCTTGTCCTTTTTTCTTCTATTGGATGCCTTTTTTCTTGGAATAAGCATGGTGCTTTCTGTTTTTCAGTTCAAAATATATTTTGCTACACAACAGTGTAGCAAGTAATCTATAGGAACACAGTTTAGTTTTGTGTTCAGTTTTTCAAGGCTTAAAATATTATTCTGGCTTCTCATTCCAATATGCTTCATCCTCTAGCTAGCTAGACTGTTACTCAGGCCCACTCACCAGAAAA